GACATGAGGCAGCATTTCTTTACGGAGAGGGTGGTCAGACACGGGAAGAGGCTTCCTAGAGAGGTGGTCGATGCCCCAAGCCTGTCAGTGCCTAAGAGGCCTTTGGGCAATGTCCTTACCGACAGGCTTTAACTTTTGGTCAGCCCTGAAGTGATCATTGCAGGTCCCTCCAAACTGAAATAGTCGTTTCCGTTCTAAAAGGGGACAAGGCCAGAGATGGAGCTGGAGATGAGGCCTCAGCAAGGGGTCCCTGGTCCAGACATGAGATGGGACCAGAGACAAGCTACAAGGGTACACCTGGGAGATGAGCTCCCTACAGCATAGGTGAGATGTCCATCCAGGAGGTAGGGCCAGAGACAGGCACAGCTGCAGTGTAGCTCACGGAAGGGCTGACAGCCCTAGCCGGGTTGAAATGGGACTTCTGGGCCCATGGGAAGGAGATGAGGGTGGAGACCCCAGCTGAGGCAGGTCAGGGCTGTTAAGGGCTACTCATGTCTCCAGGCCCTGACACCTGCACACACAACACTGAAACGTGTGACAAAGGTGAAAATATCAGCTGACTTCTCTGGAAGAATCAAAACTATAAACTGAAAGTTAAGCATGTTGGAAAAACAATAGAAAAAAATTGAAGATATTACGATACTGTATAAATTATGCCATGGCTACTGGGGTATGGAGTAACCCTCCCAGCCACAGGGGGGTTGGCAATTGGAGTCCCAGTCTGCTTTGTCAATGCATGTGAGATGGGCCGTACCAGCAGCTGCAATGGGGCTGTGTTCTTGGGGGCTTGTATCCAGGTGACAGCAACTGGGGAGACTGGGATCCAAGAGCACCTACAGGGCATACTTGCTTTTTCTGCAGCATATGACAATGTCTTATATTAGCTGGAACTTTTTTTTCAAGTGGTTTAATAGAGTTGATGAAAGCGTGACTCACCACGGTCTGATCATTTTCTGTCAGGATGGGGTGAAGTGCCCCCATCAAATGTTTATAATGGAAACTGCTGCTATACATGCAAACATCATTCCTGTTTATCTAAGTATCAGAAATGGTCCTGCTCAATAACATCCAATTTATTATTTGTTGATGCTTGCTTTATTGAATTTCATTCTTTATTAGAAACATTATAAGGCAACAGAAGTCCCTTACTAACGAATTATTTATTTTCTTAAGACAGAATTTGCAATGAAATAAAGAACTTTATAAAAGGGACAAAATGTATGCTTTTCAGTTGTTTGTGTGCCCTTCCTGTTTTCCCTGGATGGAAGCCAAGGAACCAGAATATGTCTGGGATTCTGTTGTATTTTATGGGTGGTTTCATCTCATACTGATCTCCTTCTGTCCGTGGCTTCTCCAGTGGGTGGTCTTCAAACTTGCCATACATTGGACAAGCACATAAAGTCAAGACTAAAAATATATTTGCATGAATTGTCCTTGAAGGAGCAGTCTTCTTTCCCAGAGGTGGACCTCATCATTGGGCTTTATGACCTTTCTTGTTCACCGTCTCTAACTCCATGTTCATTTCTACAGAGTGGTTTGGTTTACTGGCCAGGTTTCAGTCTTCACACTCACCTGCTAAGAGTAATTTCAAAGTGCATAAGGACTTAAATTTGCTCTAGCTTCGTGAAAGACTTATGGGGCAAGCGTTCAAGCTATTTTATGAAAGGGTATTGTCTTTTTTATTTTTCTGCCATATTTTCAAAGAAAAGATATGTTATGGTTATTTATATGCAAGAGCATAACTAAATACTAGAGTCCAGGAGAGGTGGGACTGTGGTTTCCCTGTCTGTACATCTACTACAACTTCATGCTTAATCTCAAAAGAAAGGTTTTGAGACATAAATTTTTCTTTGGCATTTCCTGTCTGGTATCTCTCCCCACTAAAGTGTACAGGCTTTTCTGAAATTCATTCCTGGGTGCATGCTTTTGTATTTGGGAACTGGAAAGCCTAGTTTGAATTTGTTGATTCCATTCTGCACATAATTCTGCACTTTAGAGTTGTGCCTGGGGATGCACAGCACTGCCATAGGTAAGTCCCTATATTAATTTGTGTCTTAGTGAGCATGCAGCCAGGAAATGCATGTCAAGCACAGTATAAATTATATTTTAGCATTACATATAATTTCACGCTGTTGAGATTTTTGAAAGGTTAAGCAAAATGTTGGGAACCGGTCTCTTTAAATTCGTCATTGCAGCAGCTATTGATTTGTGTACTCAGGTGCTCTGTTTCACGTCAGTGGGTACTGTTATTTGAAGGGCTTATTTCTATGCTTTTTTTGTCGTTTTGAAAGAATCAGCAAGGTTGTCAGGAGAGGCCACTTCTGAGAGACAGCGGTTTCACTCAAAAGTGAATTGAAGATTGGGCAGGGGAAAAAAGACTTCTAAAACTGATAATAGGTATACAGGTATTGTCATAGCAGATTAAATGGCTAGTTCATTTTTCACAGCTCATCTCTGGCATTTCAGAAGAAAGGTTGTATCTCCTTAGATAACTATGGACAGAGATGCAAATGAAGGTGGGTTTTTTTTTTTGCCATTGCTCTAATAAAAGGCCGGTTTTAACTTGCTTGTGAAGGTTATTAATTTTTTTCCCTGAGGCACACTGTAGCTAGATAAAGACAGATTCTTCATTGCCTCTCTACATGTATTTTTTTTTCTTACCAGAGGTGCTGCGTAAGTTATCTCTTTTCAAGGCATAAGAGGGCACAGAACACAGATGTTTCTATCTTAACTGTTTAGGCCAAAGGACATTTGTGGTTTACCAGAGGAAAGCAAGTGTGCACATGTACTGGCTGAGGTGAAACCTAGTAAGACCACTTAGAGGTGCCAGTTTATCAGTTTCATTGAAAATACTTGTGGCTTATATTTTTGTGAAAAATGTGAGTGATGTCTTATAATATTCTTATAATTCCCCCCCACCCCTTCTGTCTTTGCTTTTGTAAACTCTTGCCTTATAAATGTGAAACAGTCCTGGTCTTTGAGGGTCTGATTCTGTTTGTCTACAATTTCTGTTCTGGCAGACTGAATGTGTGGGACTCAGGTGGTGGCCTGAGTTCCTGTTGTCTCCATCTGCTATGTGATGCTGGAGTCTGTTTTAGTCTCAACTGCCTGACGTCTTTCATATGACTTGTCAGTGCTGGGAAGGTAGAGTATTTGGAGTTTGCCCCATTGAGTACAGTTTCTTCTCTGCTTCAGTATACAGATGAGGATACTTTAAAGTTGCCCTGAAAGCACACTGGTGGAAGGCTTATAGATGGGCAGAAACAGTGGTATTTAATTCTTCCTTGAGGCCATTTCTGCACAGCAGAGTTAAGCCACCACTAAAGACAAAGTCAGAACTCTCATTGGCATAAGTCAGATCAGGATTGGGTTTGAAGATACACAGACATGAGGGAACTGAGGATATAATCTGGGGGCATGTAAAATACAAATTCCTGGTAGTTTGAATTTACAGTTTCAGCCAGGTACCCTAGATTAAAATCAGAAAAAAAAAAATCACAGCTGAGTATTTGTGTAGCTTAGATTAACCACTTGCTAAAATGCAGGGCGGAGGAGGAGAGCATTGATTTAGCTTTCCTGCTTCCTCTGATACCTGTTGTTCAAAGGAAGCCTGTAGAATTTGCTTTCACCTTGTACAATGAAAGATAATTCACATCATGTTAGTTTGTATGAAGTTGAAGTTGCTAAACAATACTTTTACATTTTGCTAAACTTACTTTTTAATTCAAGCCATAATAGTTTTCAGTAGAAAAATGAAAACATTTGTAGACATTAAAATTATGAAGTAGGAAAGCCACACATCTGGAAGTTTACAATGTTATTGTCTCAAGTAACAGATATAATTCAAAAGCAGGAGTGTCTTTTCTAGTTCAGTGGAAAGTAGCAGCATAACTGAAACACAGCAGTGAGCTGCTACTAATCTGTTATTGCAATCAGCTACCTCTGTCACATTTTGTATGAAGAAGAAAGGGGGGATAAATTGAAAGTAGCATATAAAATATTGTTTTAGCATTACTGCTGGCTAGATCTGTAAATGGAAATAATAAATCCTCGTACAGCATTGAGGGTAATACTAAAGTAGTCCCACTAGCATATGTTATTTACGGCTGTTCTAAAGTCTTATTTCTTTTCTTTCTTTCCCTTTGAAGGGGTTGGACCTGACATGATGCTCATAGATAGCTGTTCTTACACTAGCAAATCTCAGTTTTAGCTAAACTCTATGGTAACAGCAGATGCAAATGGTATTACAACATCAAATAATGATTACATAGTAACCTGATGGGAAGATAAGGTATAATAAATGTTCGTAAAATGTTGAAGTTAAATTTTATGAACTAAAATTCTTAAATTACTCCTAAATAAGCTTACAAGAGGAAAGGATTGGATCTGTATTTACATTTATAATCTCCAGAGCTCCTTAGGTAATGCAGAAATAGAAATTTTTAGCATTACAGCTCATATGAAAAAAAATATATAAAAATTTATGAAATTCAGATTAAAAGTTGAGGGGAAAGCATATGTATAATATGCATTAGTTGGTTCTTAAGGTACAAGAGGAACATGCAAGTTCAATGCTGTATTTTCAGTTCCTGAATTTCCCAATGTATCTAATCCAAGTCTGTGTTACTGACTTGTCTTTGCATTGAATCAAATTCAAAGCATGCTTAATGCTCAAAATGAAGAGGGCGGTGATTTATCTCGCATAGGTGAAACACACACGTTTGTAGCCTAATTACCTTATCCTCCTTCTTTTTGTCTTTCCTGCTAACAGAAGCTTAAAAAAATTTGGAAGGTGATTCTGAATTGTCCTTGGAAGTGACTCATTGGTGTTTTAAAGAACCATCTTAGTGAGTTGTGCTCATCTCTTTAAGTACAGAAAGGATGTGTCCTCAGCTAGATGACTGGTCTATCAGGGAGCTGGCAGATGTCATTGCGAGGCTACTCTTGATAATCTTGGATCAATCATGTCCATTGGGAGAAGTGCCTGAAGACTGAAGGAAAGCAAATGTCACTGCTGTCTTCAGAAAGGGAAAGGAGGAGGACCCAGGGAACTAGAAGTTGGTCAGCCTCCCCTCCATCCCTAAGAAGATGATGGAGCAGCCAATCCAGACATAGATTTCCAGGCACACTAAGGACAAGCAAATTATCAGGAGTAGTCAGCATGGCTTCTTCACCAAGGGGAAGTCTTTCTTGACCAATTTGATAACCTTCTATGATGAAGCGATTGGCCTGGTAGAGAAGGAAAAAGCTGTGGATGTTGTCTACCTGGACTTCAGTAGGGCCTTTAACAGTGGCTCCCATATGACCCTCATAGAGAAGCTGTTGATATATGGGTCGGATGAGCAGCCACAGCTGGAGTACTGTGTCCAGTTCCGGAGCACCTCAATATAAGAGAGACATGGACATACTGGAGGGAGTCCAGTGCAGGGCTGTGACGATGGTGAAGGAACTAGAGCATCTCTCCTATGAAGAAAGGCTGAGAGCCAAAACTGTTTAGCCTACAGAAGAGAAGGGGAATCTCATTAACCTATATAAATACCTGAAGGGTGGGTGCGAAGAAGATGGAGCCAGGCTCTCAGTGGTGCCCAATGATAGGAGCAGAAGCAATGAGTAGAAGCTGAAATTCAGCAGGTTCCCTCTGAACATCAGGAAATAAATTTTTTTTTTTTACTGTGAGCATGACTGAGCACTGGTGCAGGTTCTCCCATTCTTGGAGAGATTCAAAAGCTGTCTGCACTTGCTCTGCTTGGGCTGTAGGTGTCCCTGATTGTGCAGGGAAGTTGCACCAAATGATCTCCAGAGGTCCTTTCCAACCTCAACCATTCTTTGAGTGTGTGACTTGAACGATCTTTGTTGTCATAGAATTGTAGAATCATAGAATGGTTTGGGTTGGAACGGACCTTTAAAGATCATCTTGTCCAACTGCCTTGCCTTGGGAAGGGACATATTTCACTATATCAGGTTGCTCAAAGCTCCATCCCACCTAGCTTCCAAGACTTCCAGTGATAGGGCATCTCCTACTTTTCTGGCAACCTGTTCCAGCATCTCACCACCCTTATTGTAAACAATTTCTCCCTTATGTCTACTCTATATGTACCCTCTTTTGGTTTAAAACCATTGCCCCTTGTCCTGTCCCTATGGGCTTTGGAGTCCTTCTCTGTCTTTCTTATAAGCCCCCTTCATATATTGAAAGTCTGCTTATTGCAGGTGCTTATTCAGGCTGAACAACCCCAACTCTGTCAGCCTTTCTTCAGAGGAGAGGTGTTCCATCCCTCTGATCACTTCTGTGGCCCTCCTCTGGACCTGCTCCAACAGGTCCATGTCTGTCTTATACTGGTGACCCTAGAGCTGGATGCAGTACTCAAGGGGGGGGTCTCATGAGAGTGGAGTAGAGGGGCACTATCACTTCCCTTTTCCTACTGGCCACATCTTGAGACCTTGTGTGATGGTGTGGTTAAATACTTGCATGAAGACATGCACAAACATGATGTCCTCAAACATTCGCTGAGAAGGATCCAGCTTCAAAGCTGTGGTGGCAAGCCACTGTATTCAAGCTTATAAGCTTTGCTGAGTTCAGAACAGAGTACTGCTGTTTTGAGAAACTGGTCTAGTTGGCTTAGTTACAATACATGCTGATGTATTTATTTCTGCTCCTTAGTTGTAGTTGTTGCACATAAAAAGAATAATTTTGGCTTTATTTGTGTGATTTTATGCATAAAATGCTATATTATTTTGTTATTTGAATCTCTCCTTATTAAAACAAAAAACCATAAAACCAAAGAAAAAACCCAAACCAAAAACCCAAAACAAACCAAAAAACCCCCAAAAAACCAAAGGAAGAAAGTGTAGTCCTGCTAGACTTTTGCATTCTGGCCTACCTGAATTCCTCTTCCCTGGAGACTGATTTCCAGATCTATAGTCAGTGCCAGAGGTGAAAGCATTGTACTGTGGCATATGTACTATCACATTAATATGTCCCTGCAGAAATACCTTGCCTAATTCATATGAAAGGACTTCATATTACTCCCTCATAGATTCACCATTGTAGTCAGATTGCGAGCAACAAATGTACCAGTCTTCATCTGTTCTGTTTCCAGAGCTTATAAATTGTGGGAAAAAAATATATACATCTAAGTTCCTAAGTGCATGAACGTGCACTTTGTGTTGCAAAGTTTTACCCCATTTCTTGTGTTCAGTCCACAGAATCACTTAGATCTTCCTGATGTTGTTTTGATCTTCCACTATACAGGAAGTGAATCGATATTTTATCTCATCTGTTAACCCCACAAACATACACTTCTGTTTCCTGAGCTGTGTTTTTTTACTGGGAAATACAGTTTCCAAAGTTGACCCTTCAGAAGCTCCTTTAGTAGAGCAGCAGGTTGCTGTTTGGCCCTGTGCCAGTTTCATATTTATCTTTCTGTTCTCATCACATTCTGTTTTCCTTTAGCTTAAGTTATTGTTTTATATGCGATACTCTGTTGGTTGTTTTACTGCAATCAAGACAAATGAGAGCTACAGTGTTTCCTGATCTGGGAAAAGCACTTTATTATCAAAAATACAAAATAAAAACTGGCATGGTTGACTTTTGGTAAACTCATGTTGCATTTAGTTGGATTTTCCATTTACTTCGAGGTCATTCATTATCTTTCCTTGATAATTTATTTCAAGTATTGTGCAATATTGAAATGTGGTTAATGGGCTTTCCATTCATGAATTACTACCGCTCCCTATCAATGTCTTAAATACAAGTGTTACCTTTGTTTGCTTCCTAGCAAATCTAGATAGTAAGTGTTTACAAAGATGGAGTAAAAGATGACTTCAGTCAGTTTTCCACCAGCCTTGCCTGATGAAATGCTTTCCTAACTTTTATGTGGTCACTTTACACTTGCCTGAGCATTTTACTCAACACAAGGGAGCTGGAGTCAGGATTGGTACTAATGTGACACAACATTGTTCTCTAAGGAACACAGTCAATTCTGTTTAAACCTGTTAGGGTGATCCTGTGAAGTCTTCAAGAAATATTAATATTAATGGTTTTTTTTCTTTGTTTTTCAGAACAATGGATCACTTGCTTGGTGCCAGAATCATAAACAATGTTCAAAGGTATGTCCTTTTTTCCCCCCTCTCATTTAAGTTATCTAGTTGCTTTCAATCTCTTGTCTGTAGACTTAAGTGCTTTTCATTTTAGCCTGTTTTCAGAAGCATCTGTTTATATTTTATTTGGAAACCTCAGCCTGTAATAAAATATCCAAAATTAAAACAGAGTGATTTACTCTTTCAGGACAAAGGAATCATGTTTGAGGATAAGTATCCAGCTTAGTTAAACCAATACAATTCTGTGGTTATCAACAAACTTTACACTGGCTAAAATCTGGTGTATCATTTGTGTTCTTTCAGTATTTTTCGTCATAAGAGAGTAAAAATGTCAATCACTTAAAAAACTTCCTCCAACAGCACTGAGGCATGCCAACATTCAATATTTCGTTCAGTTTGGGTATTTAATTTTTAGCCTGACACTGAATTCCTTTGAAAAAAATTCTTGATACAAATCCCAGTGTCTCTACTGATGCCCTGCCTTCTTCTAGCACTTTAACCCTTAAAGTCTAGAGAGCAGTGAGTGGAAACTGGTCTGCAGTTGGGGCAGGAGGAGAGAACCCTTTCCTTGCCCACCGCTTCTCCCCAGGTGCCTCCGCATAACAGGTATGAGGCTCTAGAGGTGGAAGACAAGGTGGTGGACGGGGTAGGTGGTGACCTATCCACATCGGAGGAGGCACAAAGATCAGGAAGACCTCACTCTCGTATTACTACTACAACCACGAGGAAGAAGAGGCGGGTAATAGTAGTGGGAGATTCCCATCTGAGGGGAACAGAGGGTCTGATATGCCGGGCAGACCGTGCTCTTAGGGAGGTCTGCTGCCTCCCAGGAGCCCGGGTTAGAGACGTCACTAGGAAACTTGCTAGCCTGGTCTGACCCTCGGACTACTATCCCTTGCTGCTCTTCCATGTGGGCGCTGATGAAGTTGCAGTAAGTAGCCTGAGGGTGATCAAAAAAGAATTCAAAGCCTTGGG